CTGAGGATCGCGGTTCAAAGCCAGCCCGGGCAGGAGAGACAGTGAGACTCCTATCTCCAATAAACCACCAGAAAACCGGAAGTGGCGCTGTAGCTCAAGCGGTAGAGCGCTCGCCTTGAGCTGAAGAGCTGAGGGACAGCGCCCAGGCCCAGAGTTCAAGCCCCACGACCGATAAAAAAAAATAAATAAAATCTTTATTAGCAACATGTATGAGCCCAAATGATTTACTTGTTACCTCTTCTTCTTTTTCTAAAAACCAGGCCAGTCTTCAGAGACCTGAGATTAGACTTGAATCACTAAAAGAAGATATTAAGGAATTCTTTAAAATATCAGGTTTGTATTTTTCTCCTTAGCTTTTAAGTATCTCCAGATTTTAGTTAACTCATCCAAAATTGGAAAACTGTGGTTGAATAGGTTTCTCTTTGGACAGAAATAGAACTATAAGACATCAGCAAAATGGTACTGAAATCCAGGAACGTTGTTGGAATGACTATTTTGAAATAATCAGTTTTAAATATTGTTTATTCTCTGGATCAAAATACATCTCAACTGTGGCAAGTATTTGCTTCACTAAGCAACTTTTCTTTGTACTTTTCAATTGTGGCTTCTCCCCCTCATGCATTGTTTTTCCTGTGTCTTTACTATGCTTTCAAAAAAAGCCCCCACAGACAACAAAAACAACAGCAACAAAAATTGTAAGTTCCTACACCAAGCTCTGCACCTGGATCTGTGATACTGAATAGAAGTAACTCAGAGTAATGGCCACTTTATGGACCAGTGAATTATCACTACTTATTTTGGCTCTGTCTTTGGTTCTTATTACCCTCCTCTCCTGTTCAGAGCATCAGTAGTAAAGTAATAAAAGATTTTGGTATTCATTGATGATTTTGCTCCTCACTATTAGCCCATGTTTTTGGTGATTGTGGAGGAAGTACCAGCTGACAGAGTATTTGTGGCTGACAAAGTTCTTTCACAAATGATTCTCAAGATTTAGTGAGTTAAATTTAATTATGGTGCATGTTCATATAAAAGCCAATATACACTTACTTTTATTTTTTTCCCTTTAAAAACAGGTTGGGAGAAGAAACTTCAGAATGCTGTTTATAGTGAACTCAGTGTGTGAGTTTTTTTCCATCTGTTTTTCAATGTTGTTTTCTTGTTACATTTATTTTGTAAGTAATAACATCAGTATTGTCATGTATACGTATTACATTGTTATTTTTTGTTCATATGTACATAACATTTTAAGTAAATTATAATTCAGACTTACTGCTTTCTTGCTGAGAATTAATAATTTTGATTTTTTAAACACCATAAATTATATTATCAGTTCATTCATCCAGTGTAATTAAAGCATTTCTCTTAATATTTTGGATAAGTTACTAACCGAAGCATACTAACATTCTTTTTATTGTTGCAGTTTTGAATATTATACTTTTTCTATCCTTACAAACTGAACATTCTAAACACAATTGCCTTTTTTCTTTGTAAAATTGGTGTCATTATTAAGAACCTCAGTGTTTCTGTTTATTTAGATTTACCAGGGTCATTTTACCATTACAAAATATAGAGAGAACATTTGCTTTGTGCTTTATTCAACACCCCATTATTCATCAGCTATTCATTGGATTCCTATCATATGCCAGCACTATTGGAGGCACTAGTATAGTATAGAAAAATAAGTAGAATTCCTGTTCTCACTCTGCTGTTACACTTTGGACCAGCAGTTTTATGAGGTCAGTTTGTGGTTCTCCATTACGGGAAGCTGATTGCGCTATTGCAAGTATAAGTCCTATGACTAATTTTGATAGGAGTTATGAGTGGTTGAAAAAGAGATTATTGAACCATTATACTTTCCCAGTATTTCCATATGTGATTTCATACAAGTCTGAACATCAGCCATTATTTTCCATCTGTTCTGCCTTTTTCTACTCTACAAACCTCCCAAACATATCCACCTTAGAGTCTTTGCTTCCTGTTTCTATACCTGGAATATTCTTTACCAGATCTTTGTATGATTTGCTCCTTCTAATTCATGTTTTAGTCCAATAATCTGATTATAGTTTCCTGAATAGCTAGTATTACAGATGTGAGCCACCATAACTAGGTGAGGATAGTGTCTTAATCATTAGCGTACACTTGATACCTAGAAAGGCTCATGTACTTATTGACTAGATGCATTTTCTTAATAACACTATATATATATATATATATAAACACTATATATTTTGAGTATAAAACAATGTTATAAGAAAATAGAATTTATAATAATTAAAAATTTAAATTTTAGGGCTGGGAAGGTGGCTCAGTGTTAGAGTGCTTGCCTTGCATGCATGAGGCCCTGGGTTTGATTCCTTAGCATTACATAAGCAGAAAAAGCCAGAAGTGGTGCTGTGGCTCAAGTGGTAGAGTGCTAGCGTTGAGCTGAAGAGCTGAAGAACAGCACCCAGGCCCAGAGTTCAGGCCCCATGACCAACAAAAATAAATAAATAAATAGATTTTATTACATTTGTAAATTTATGTATTATATATTAAAACATGGCTCTTTTCAAAATGTTAATGTTATAATTTCAGTTATGTAAAAATATAATCATGTATTCAAGGAAATTGAGAGAAATAAAATTAGTTAATATATTAATGGATATTTTTAACCTTTAAATTCCTCTGAATTTGTCATATTTGTATGCAAAAAGCAATAGTTAAAAGTTCCATGAAGCCAAATGCTGGTAGCTCACACCTGTAATCCTAGCTATTCAGTAGGCTGAGATCTGAGGATTCTGGTTGGAAGCCAACCTGGGCAGGAAACTCCATGAGAATTATCTCTAATAAACTACTCAAAAAAGCTGGAAGTGGCACTGTGGCTCAAGTGGTAGAGCACCTGCCTTGAGCAAAAGAAGCTCAGGGACAGTGCCTAGGCCCAGAGTTCAAGATCCAGCACCAGCAAAAAAAAAAGTTTCATGATTATTTACAATAGGATAGTTACATAAAGATTACTTCATTTTATGAAGTCAGTCTATAACACATTTAGCTTTCAACATGTTATTACAGTTTTAATCTAAAATTTCTTCGTGAGTATAAACTGGATATGGTATGTGCCTGCAATCTCAGACTTGGAAGGTTGAGATAGGAGAATCAAGAGTTCCAGGCCAGCCTAGAGAGAATGGGATTTTGTCTAAAATAAACAATAGCATGATAAGAACCAAATTTTCATAGGTCTTTGTATCTGGGTAAATACATCAAGCCGCTAACAAGTTCTATTTCATTTATAACACAGATGCAGAGATATATAAACTCGTGCCCAGAGGACTAAGTATCAAGAGTAATGTATGATATTTAGCTACCTCTCTTTGCTTCTAGGTGTCCCTTACCAAGCCATCCTGCTGCACCTCCTGAACATCTGAAGGAGCCCTTGGTGTACATGAGAAAAGCACAGGTTGGCTAGTGTTTATTTTCCTCTTATTTTCCCATTCCAAGTAATGTAGAGTAAGGTGCTTATTGATGTCAGGAGTATATATTACTCATTGTATAAGAGACCGGATGAGAATCTCTTCAGTGATGTAATTAGTATTTGCACACTTTTCCTTTTATTTTCAGTAACCAAGGATACTATAATTGACTTTAGTAACCTGGAAAAAAGTTGAATAGAAGGGAAAGAAATCACATACCATTAATTTTCCCTATTCTGAAATTTAAAACATAACAAAAGCATTATATGGCAGTCTATTTCCCATGGCCTGTGATAGTAAAATATGAATGCACCAGCACCTTCTTCTTTTAAAACTTAGCCTTTGAAGCCAGCACTACAGATACTGTCTCTAAAATACATTTGATTTCACAGCAGGCTTTCCTTACTAATGAGATGGTAGCAACTAAAAGATCAGTTCAAAAGAATGGAACAAGCCGGGTGCCCATGGCTCATGCCTGTACAACTCCTAGCTACTTAGAAGGCTGAGATTTGAGGATTGCAGTTTGAAGCCAGCCCGAGCAGAAAAGTCCCCATGAGACTAACCTAAAAAACAACAAAAACCAAAATACCAAAAATCTTCCAAACCCATAGTAGAGCTGTTGCTTAAAGTGGTAGAGCACGAGGCTTAAGCAAAATGAGCTTAGGGGCAGTGCCCAAGTCCTGAGTTCAAGCCCCATGATCAATCAAAAAGAAAAGAAAAAAAATGAAACAAAGTGTTTGAAACAGAAAATTACACAAAGCTGTTAAAATAGGAATTTGGTGTCTTGAGTCCTGTAACCTTTCCTCCCCTGGCACACTGCTCATGAGCCTTCTCCCAGTGCTTGCATAGGGCTGTGCAACTGCTGAGATGCACTTTGGGTATCAGAGTTGACTTCAGACATTAATTGTAAAAAAGCTCAAATATATCTTAAGTAACTCCCATGAACCTGTCACTTAGCCTATCACAGTTATCATCAAGGTTTTGTGGCTCTTGAAAATTTTGTTACTATAAGATTTTTATTTTCCAACTTCAGTTTAGTTTAAAAAATTAAATCAATGCAATATAAACAAAAGCATGGAGGTATTTGAGGAAATACACAATATATTTCTGCTGCTAGCTGTTATCCAGAGTGTCACATATTAGTTAGTTTTGCATAGCTGGGGCCAAAATACCAAACCAAAACAGTCTAAGGAAAGAAAGATTTATTTTGCTCCTGGTTTTAGAGGTTCAGTCCATGGTGGAGTGGCTTCACATGCTGAGTGTCATGGTGGCAGGAGTCTGTGATGTGAGGTGTAATCTTCAAGGTATTCCTCCAGTGACAAAGTCCCTCTAGTGAGGCCCCAGCTCCTAAAGTTTTCAGAATCTCCCAAAATAGTGACACCAGCTTCGGATCAGTGTCTAATAGCTGAGCCTACAGGGGACATTGCATATTCACATCATAACAGACTAGATAATATTTATCAATTTGTCATAAAAACAAAAGAGGTAAATAATATGTAAGTAATATTGTGAGGCCTTTTGTTGTAAAAATTCCAATACAACAAAATAAAACTACAAAGACTGGTCTAAGTATTTTCTTTGGAAATTCCAGCAAATATAGAAAAAAATTATGTTTTAGCATAATAAGTGTAAGGAACAAAATAAAGATTTTCTATCATGACTGAAGAGGTATGATAATCTGTTGATGGCAGAGTCTTGCTTCCTATATGGATGGCATCCCTCTCTTTTCTATCCAGACTTTGCTACTGGATCTGAGATCAGCACAATAGCCCCCTGGCTAAGTCTGCTTGCCAACAGTTTTTATAGGCTGACAAAGGAAGAGCTTTAAAATACATTTCTAGCCAGTTAAACCATCAAAATAAGAATAACAAAAGCATACTACCTTGCACATCAGCAGGGTAGTCTAAATTGCAGACTTATCAGCCAAAATGTTGATGAGTTATAGTGTAACCTAAATTCTTATACTTCAGTAGTGGGAAAGTAAAGTGGTACACACTTTGGAAAAAATTTGTCACTTTCATATGAAAAGAAACATGTATGTCTAAAACCTACAAACAGATATGTCTTCATATCTTGGCTCTACAGAAAAACTCACATAAGAATATTTTTATAGCTGTATGCATATGAGCCCCAAACTGCAAATAGCCCAGTGTTCATTAATTGGAAAATAATAAGCTTTTTTTTGACAATAGACTATTATTGTAAAAGAAGGAGAAACACACTATTGGTACCCTCAGTAATAGGAATAAATCCCCAAAGATTATACTGAATAAAAGAATGCTTATACAATCAGTGTGTGCAGTACATTGATATGAAGTTCTAGAATGGAGAAAATCTATGCTAGAAAATTTCAGAACAATGACTGACTCTGGTAATTTGAGAGTAGAGATTTTGTTGTGGGTATAGTCATTTGTGGTATCCTGATAACGGTTTAAGCTAGATCTTATGGATTGAAATACTTAGACTGTGTATTTTGTTTTACATTAATTTTCCTTCAAATGAAAAAAGAGGAGCCCCAAAATGCTAAACTCTACTTCATGATACATATTCAAGTATTTAAGGGAAAGTATGTTATGTCCACAACTTGTTTCGAAATGCAAACAAAAAAGATGATGGATCGTTAGGTATAAAGAAAGATGCACAGACTGTCAGAATTTAGGTTGTATGCATATGCATATTCAGTGAAGTTTTTCTTCTAATTTTTTCTGTTTTTGGACATTTTATAATAAGCTATAGGGAGAAAAAATAATAAATAATGACCAAAAAAGAACATCTTGTGGCACAGAAAAATTCTGCATTAATAAAACATTTTACTGGGAAATAGCAATATACATTCATTATACATTATTAGGGCTGTATTTGCATTGTTAAGCAGTTATAATAGAAACTGTATGGCCTGAGAAAACCCTAAAATATTCTACTTTCTGCTCTTTTACAGATGCCTTTCAAGCCCAGCCTAAATTATTCATTTTTTAAGAGCAGTGTCTGCTTTTCTGCCTTCAACATTGAGCATAGCCCACAGAACACTTTGGATAAATATTTGAACTACTTGATTCTTTAACCACAGTCATACTCATTACTCCTGTCTCAGCCAGAACTTTCCTTGCTCTGACAAATTTCTGAAAGAACAACTTAGAGGAGGAAGTTTTGTTTTAGTTTGCAATGTCGGAGGTTTGAGTCCATGGTCAGTAGCTTCACTGCTCTGGGCGTGGTGGCACATAGAAGGTGTGGAGGATCAGAGCCGCTTATCTCCTGGTGGACAGGAAGCAAGGAAAAGGAGAAGCACCACCTCTCAGTATGCCATCTTTTCATAAATTCATCAATGGGTTAATGCCGTGATTAGGGCACAGCCCTCAGTATCCAGTAGCTTCCCAGAAGCCCATCAGTTTTCAATCGTGTCCTCAGTACATGCACCTATGGCAGGGGGAAAGGGTAGATTTCATATTCTAACTGCAGTGCTCTTCTGCCAGTTAGTGTTTGCCTGTTTTCCTGCTTTTGTTCTCTTTGGAACATCCAATTTTTGTATTCCAACCATAATACTCTACTGCCCATTCCTGTCTGTCATCCTGCATTTGTTCTCCATGAGGCATCCAGTTATGCCCTTCTTGGGCAGCTGTCTCCTCATCACCTGAGAGCTGTTTAGTCTGGATCTTTGCTATTCATTGCACTTTGTAATCTCTTCCTCCCTTGACTTCTCTCTTGTGTGCCTTTCTAGTCCCCACCCTCAACCTGCTTTTATCTTGTAATCTTCTTCCAAGCTGTGGGCCACATTTTTTGTTTTTGTTTTTTGGAGGGGAAAATCACATAATTCTATTAGTCTAAATTTGTTTATTTACTTTTAATAGTTTTTTTTGCTGTCACTATACTTTTGCACTTATTATGTAATATCTGCCTTTTATTTAGATTGGTTTTAAGTTATTCTGTGTTTGAGAAGCTCTGAATTCTACCCATCTCACACATTTTCAACATTAGCCACTTTATTTATTTTTTATTTTTTATCTTTTTTGGGTCCGGTCGTGGGGCCTGAACTCTGGGCCTGGGCACTGTCCCTCAGCTCTTCAGCTCAAGGCTAGCGCTCTACCACTTGAGCCACAGCGCCACTTCCGGCTTTTTTCTTTTTGCTTATGTGGTGCTGAGGAATAGAACCCAGGGCCTTGAGCATGCAAGGCAAGCGCCCTACCACTGAGTCACCTCCCAGCCCAAAATTCTTTTTTTTTTTTTTTTGGTCTGGTCATGGAGCCTGAACTCTGCTGGGTGCTGTCCCTCAGCTCTTCAGCTCAAGGCTAGCACTCTACCACTTGAGCCACAGCGCCACTTCTGGCTTTTTTCTTTTTTGCTTATGTGGTGCTGAGGAATCGAACCCAGGGCCTCAGGCATGCAAGGCAAGCTCTCTACCACTGAGCCACCTTCCAGCCCCTCAACATTAGCCACTTTATTGCAAATATCCTGGGAGACATTGATCAAGATGCATTGTATTTATAAACTGCTTTCTTGAATAGCAACTCCTTTGTATAACTACTAAGATAATAAAATATATTTTTAAAATGTGTTGTTTTACCCAAGTTTCCACAGCTCCCCTCTTTGGAGCCATATCTCTTTTTGCCCTTGCACTCTGTGACTGGTTGTCTTCTGTGAGCTCAGACACAAGATGTTTAACACTGGCTGATTGTGTTGTTAAAGTGAGCATTTCTTCCTGACTCCTTTTTTCTCTTAAGTATCCTGATTGCTATTAAAGCAATTTAGATCTGAGACATCTTTCATCTCAGTTTTCACATACAGATAGTTACTGAGGTCTATAAATAACTTTTGTCTGTACTGTATTCCTATAGTCTTCTCTTTTCATTACCAAGGCTATTACTGTGTTGATGTTGATGATGTTGTTAATGAAGACTTTCTCTTCCTCCCTCTCTCTCTCTCCCTCCCTCCCCTTCCTTCCTTCTTTCCTTCCTTCCTTTCCTTCCTTCCTTCCTTCCTTCCTTCCTTCCTT